CATATACCACCGCATACACACCACACCACACCACATACATATACCACACTATACCACCGCATACACACCACACTACATACATATACCACACTATACCACTGCATACACACCACACCATACCACATCAGACTTGCAAGAGGTAAGGCATGTCCTGGCACCTCACAGTCTCACCCTGGGCCTCCCTGGTTAGGTTGTTGGCCCAACCTGAAACACCTAGACGATGGTAATTTAAGATGCTGTTAGCACACAGTTAATTTGGGCATCTCATTTCACTGCTGTGAACGGTGCCTTGGATGTAATTGGCGGATGAAAGGCAGATGGGGAGTTTAGACATGACTCCCCAGATCTCAGGGGGGTCCCCTTAAGGTGTACCTAGTGCACTCCACATTCCTCACAAGTTAAGACTTTGTCTTCTTGTAGACATATTCCTTTGTTTGATTACTGTCCTGTCAGAAGGTTCTTCCTGGTTCCAGTAGCTCCCTTTGATGGGCTTTCCAGACACCATGTGTCTAAACCAGCCAGAGAGCCCTGCATTTGGAAAGCAGAGTGGGTAGTCTTGGATCCCACTTGGCCAGTTGTGCTGCTGGCATCGGCCCTACCAAAGAGTTTTTTGGAGGAACAGAAATTGAAGCTGATTTCCTTCTTGGAAGAAGGCACGTAATGATTTCCACGCTGAATTCTATGTAAGAAAACTGAGAAATTCTAAAGTCTTTTCACCCTAGAGAGGTATTTTGGTTGTTCAGAAAGCCAAGGCAGTGTGCTGATAATTCCTGGCTTATTGGAAGTTGCTTGGTTCCTGGACTATTGTCCTTTAGAAGCTCCCTCAAGCCTATGACACCCTGAATGCTCCCAGTCTCATAAGCTAAACAGAGTTGACCTGGTTAGAGCTTATTTGAGAAAAGCTTCTCCAATATTATTCTACTTTTTTTTTTCTAAGAGCAGCTTTTAGATGAACTTGCCTATGTAGTTGTGTGTCTGTGCATTGTGTGACTATTACTGGGGAGATGTGAGCAAATGTCTACTCAGCTAGGGAGCCAACAACAGAGCAAAGTAAGGAGACCACCAAAGTCCAACGTGGTAACTCAATGAGTCCTATTGGTGTTCCTTACAGGAATGTGGGTGGGGGGATACTTACCACAGGAACAGAAATGACTCAGAGACACCTGCATCATCAAAGCCTACCCCAGCATAGGTGACAGCTCACAAAAGCTGGGAGCCTGGAGCACACTACACAACATGTTGGAGAGTGACTCTTCCAGTGAGCTTGGCTGGTCTCTGCCCCTTCTAAGCAGCCTAGCATTCCTTACTGCTTATTTACGCTGTGTGTGTGTGTCTGTGTGTGTGTGTGTGTCTGTGTGTCTGTGTGTCTGTGTGTGTCTGTGTGTCTGTGTGTGTCTGTGATGTATACCTGGTCAATTTCAGGAACTCCCCAAAGCCTTTCAGTTATTTTCTCCCTGAGCTTAAAGAAAGCATCCTTGCAGAGAGGAACGTCCCACCTCCCTTAGTATCCCTCTACGATGGAAGGTTTTTCCCAGAGGAAATGACTACTCAACTGTGAGATGACGGCTGGGCATATACTATAGACATGTGGCGGCACGTGGACTTGCAGAAGATGTCACAAGGTCCTCTGCTGCTGAAGACCCTTGGGGTATGGGAAGTGCCCTGTCAGCAGCTGGTTTTTATAGCATCTCAGCAGGGCACTGAAACTTGTTCTTTTGGGTACTCTTTGCAGAACTGTTTCCAGTGGTTTTTTTTTGTTTTTTTGAAACTAAGACACCAGCTATCAGACTCCAGCCCCCACTTCCTCCATCCACGTGAGTCAAAAGTCAGCAGCTTCCCTTTCTTTCTTCCGTCGTGCTATGCTGGAGAAGGAGTCCTTGATGCCCACTCACTGAGTGGCCTGCCACACCCACTACATTCATTCAGTGGTCTGAGTAGTCAGACTCTTGGGGGTTTGAGGGGCAAATGGATCCTGGTGTTGACCAAGGCAAGACATAAGGGAATCCAGAGGAAGAAGATGTTAGTCCTAGGGATGGAGTTTGAAGGGGAAGAAGGAATTTGACTGGAGTTTGAAGGTCTGTCAGGTGACCAAGCCAGCTCAGTCAGTCAACAGGGTCTCAAGGGAGGGAGTGAGGCTTGAAAAGAAAAAGACAGACAACACTATAACATGACTCCAGCCAGTGCTGAGGCTGAAGCAGCTTTAGTTTTCCCAGTCTGCTTTTATATCATTCCAGATACATCCAAAGAAACATGGTCAGTTCTTAGATCGTAGACAAAGAAATCAAGTGAAGTAGTAAACAAGACCACACAAGATAGTAATCAAGCAGAGTAGTAAACACAGAGGTTGTCGAGCAAAGCAGCCCCACGGCCACTGTTTCTGATATTCTTATCTGAGCACACTTCTCTGTCCAAGTCTGGCCGAGATGCTGCTCTCACCTCGTCCGTGTGCAGAAGAGAGCTGACACCGGAAAAGAACCCAGTTCAGGCCGACAGCGCCTTGGCTGTGCATGCTCTACTCTGTGAAGTCCCAACTAGGGTTGTGTTTGTTTGTTTAGGGAGGGATGGTAGTAGTGGTGTGCTTCTATGTAGCCCAGGCTGGCCTTGAACCTCCTGCCTCCCTACCTTCTGAGTCCTGGGATTGAAGGTGTGGAACAGCACTTTCCCTGTGGCCCATCAAGAAAAGGCCACTCTGGAGAGTGACCTGTTCCTCTGGTGGAAAGGGTGGAAGGACTTCTGAGAACAGAGCATGCAGGAGAGGACATGGGGAGGATTCAATGGGTTCAGGTGACTCACGTGCATGGAAGGGAGGGGGTTAAATTGACATAAAGTCCTAGATGATCATGAAAGTCGTCCTAGCGTGCATGTCTTTTGGTACTCAGCAGGGAACTACAAGGAAGTGGGACTAGAGAAGGGTGGGCTTTTAGTGACTTTCAGAACTATTCCTCAAGTCAGGCACTGGTGTGGCGTGTGTGCAGGGGCACTGGTGGGATCAGAGCATCAGTGAGAGTGTTCTTAAAAACATCCTTGGGGACAAAAACAAAAGGCCAGGTGGTACCAACACTTTTGTGTCAGAGCTAGTGGGACACAACTAGCTAAAGACAGAGTCGCCATTTTTGTTTTGTCACAGTGGTGTGGCTCATGCATCATGTCCATCCTCTGGATTTCCTCTCTTCTCAGTCTGCTGGACATGCAGCACCAGGTCAGCATACTCTAGAGAACTCTTGTCTGGAAATGATCCCAAGGAGGGGACCTGCCAGGGCTGCTATTCCCAAACTGCCCCCCCCCACTGGGCTCTTGGGGTACTTTATAAAGCCTTTTGTCTCGAGGGTCTCCTGAGAGTTTCCTTGATGGGTGAGGGCCTACAAGCCAGCTAACTGCTTCTACGTGCTGACTGGGCACTGCATTAGTTACTTTTCTATTGTTGTGACAAAGCACCGTGACTAAGGAACTTATGGAAGAAAGAGTTTATTGGGAGCCTACAGTTTCAGAGGGTTAGAGTCCATGGTCATCGTGGTGGGGAGCATGGCAGGCAGGTAGGTATATTGGTGGAGTAGTAACTGAGAGCTAAGACGGGGAGAGAGAGAGAGAGAGAGAGAGAGAGAGAGAGAGAGAGAGAGAACTAATTAGGACTAGGACTAGCATAGACATTAGAAACCTTAACTGGGGACCAAGTGCTCAAATATATGAGCCTATGGGAGTCATTCTCATTCAAACTACCACAGGCCTGGAGTCCTCACAGGACCTCATGAAGCACTTCCTATTACCATGTACATTCTACCAGCAAACAGGTGTGGTGCTGATGGTGGGAATCTAGTCTTAGCTTGTCCAGCTCAGAACTCACATTATCGACCTGTTTACTCCCATGCTTGAGTAGTTTGTTTAGAACAACAAGCTGTCCTGAATAAACCACAAAGGCTTTAAGTTAATAAAACAAATGAAATGAATAAAATCTATAAAGACAAAACAAAGTATGTGTATGCCTGTAACAGAGCAGAATGTAAGTATGTATACAGGTTAACTGTCTACCTCAGTCTCCGGCTGAGGAAGGAGAAGTCCTTCACTTCTCCTGCCTGTAAGTGACAGAGTGGGCCTGTCCTAGGGACCTTGCAGGCCTTAGGGAACTATATGGTACCTGGCGTAAGCCAAGTATTTATTGTTTTAGATTGAACAAAATCTCAAAGAACCAAATGAGTTCAAGAGAAGATGGAATATACGGACAGCAGAGGGATGTTGGAAGACAGAACTAACTATCTGCAGTGTCAAGAACTCCCCCCGATTCACCCTCTTCCTCTATTCCCTCCAGCACCTCCATTTTTTTTAGACAGTGTCTGATGTATAGTGCATGCTGGCCTTGAACTCATTAACTTCCTGCCTTAGCTTCCATATTCTGAAAAGAAATCAGCAATTTAGAGAATATGTAGACCATGATTGCTTTTGTGTAGAAATAAAAACATTGCATACCAATAACTATGCCTGTTTATATTAATTAATTAATCGTGTGTGTGTGTTTGTGTGTGCGCATGCACACGCATGGCCACAGAGCAATAATATGCTATTAGGGGACAGCTTGGAGGAGCAGTTCTCTCCTTCTACCATGTGGATTCTGGGACCTGAACTCAGGTCATCAGGCTTGGGAACAAGCATCTTTATTCATTGAGCCATCCTGCTGGCCCTTTCTTTAGTTAAAACAACAAACAAACAGATCTTATCAACAACTTTGAGTTAATCTCAGGGTCAGGGAACACTTACTGTAATTTATAAGAAGACTATTGTAGATTCTATCTTTAAAAGAATCAAAGAGGAAAGGGAGGAAAGGGAAAGCAAGTGGTGCCTCCAGAAGGGAGTTGGGCTCCAGTCCTCTGTCTCCATGGAACCCCTAGGAGAGACTTCGGGCAGTTTCCCCATCCACCCTCAAGTCTGGTAGTCTCCCAAGTATTTTCATTTATAGGGAGCTTCATAGGCATGCCACAGAGAACTCTTTGGGACAATGGTTGAGGCTATCTGATAGGGTGGAAGTGTATAAGATGAGATGGGAAAACTCACAGGAAGTAACTCAAAGCATCATTGAAAACTGAGCATCGGAACTGTAGTGTTAGGGCAGAGGTTTAAATCCATTCTCTTTTGCCACAGAACCTGCTCATTATTTCTGACAGCTGGTAAGTGGTGGGAGGGGAGGTCTCAGGCAGTTATCTTTTTTGTATATGAGGTATACTTCACATCGAGCAGAAGGGGGGTGAAGGAAGGTTATTTTTATGAGAAAAAAAAAACCTCCAGAACTGGGAAACCTTAACCACTGATAGAGGTTCAGTGTGACCACAGTGGCTGCTGACAGAGCCTGGTGACAACTGTCTTACATGGTGAAGGCTGACAGCCTTAAACCCACTCATCCAACTTAACATGACCCATGGAGAGATACCCAGAATTATCTGTCTCCTAATGGGCTACAGCAGAAGTACCCAATGCCATCTGTGTAGCATGGTTGTTTTTTTTGTTTTTGTTTTGTTTTTTGTTTTTGTTTTTTGCCATGCATGAATCGAGGCTCTAGGTCTAACTACCACTTCCTGAGAAGGATGGCTGCAGACACCCATGTCAAATGATACCTCCCAATATCTACAATCCACTCAGCCTCTTTTTTCTTGGTCTTTTTATGAGATCAAGTCTTGCCATATGGTCCTGGTTGGCCTGGATCCTGCTATGCAGCCTTGAATTTAAAGTAATCCTCTTGCCTCAGCTTCCTGAGTACTGAGATTATAGGCCTTGATTACAGGCTGAGATTATAGGTGGAACAAGTACCACAATGCTTAGTTCCAATTAGCAAAATTCTGAATATGGGAAATAGCAAAATTCTGAGTATGGAAAATTCTATAGAAGAAAAGAGACTTAAGAGACATTTTGAATCAATTCAATTTATGTTTTTTTTTTTGTCCAGTTATAGATCTGGTTTGAATCCTGATACAAATAAACCAACTGTAAAAACAGGTCCACATTTATGAGAGGGTGAAACATATTTAAATTCTGATTTTTAAGAATAATAGACATTAGATAAAATCACACGGTGCTTAGAATTTGCTTCCAAATCTAGAGGTGTGGAACCAGAGGGACGGAAGATGGAGGGGCTGGGCCGCATGTGAATGGGTTGTGACATGAGGTAGAGATGTGTGGGGATTTATCATGCCATCACATCTACTGTGTATATGTTTAGAGATATCCATAACAGGAAGTCAACAACAAGCAATGAAGATTATGGACAGAACTTCTTCCATCATGGTGGAGGTGGTGTGTGTGCGGTGAGCGGAGGCTGTGTCTGCTCTCGTGCTTTGTTTGGTCTAAGTACTCTGGGATGGCCTCATCCCATGGGAAATGACAGTTTTGATAGTTGCAAAGGTATCTAACAGGTTAAATAGGTATCAGGCATTCATATGTAGGCATGCACCCCTCTTTAGGGGACTGCGGGGGCCAATCCCACTTGGTTATTTCCACGATCAAAGACTGAGTAAAACTGTCGGATGAAGACGTCCCCCAGGATCCAGAGGGGTCCAGCTGGAGGTGGAATGTCAAGTCCTTGAAAGCCACTGCCGCAGAACTGCATTCCATCCACCAAGTCCTAGGGATCAAAAGAAGCACTTAGTAGCAGACAGAGAACGATGGATGTAGTCCTGGGAGCTGTACTGAATAGTGGTGTGGGCCGTGTGGATGATTGGCGAGTGCCACGGTTGTGGTTGGTAGACTTTCTCTCATTTCATGTCCCTATTTCAGCATACTCAGTACAGAGTATGTTTGCTCCCTTCATTGTTGGTGTTCTACAGGTCTGAGGACTGTATGTTTTTCACGGCTGTACTCTACCATCAGTTTATATCTGGAAACGTGGAAACAGAACCTTATTGCAGAAGGTTTGGCGTTAGAGTGCATTGGTTTAAATCCAATCTGCTTTAGTTTCGAGCAGAGCTAGACTTATAATATCTGCTCTGTAAATGGCTAGCTGTTGCCACTTCCTTCTTCACATCTGGGGAAGAAGCATTTGAGTGGGCTCTCTGAGACACAAGGCAAGCACACATCCGTTGTTCTATGATGGACTCTAAACTCCCCCAATCTTTTTTTTTTTGAGACATTATGTAACCTCTGTTGTCTAGAACTCACTCTCCTGTCTCTGCTGTGCTGGGATTGTAGACATGGACCACCTCCTGTCTCCCAGTCTTATTTCTCAGCTTAGCAAAGATTTGAGTTCTACCAGGCAGATGTGGTCTTCCCAACAACCATCTGACATTCAAAGTAGCTGAGGAGGAGGTGGAAAAAAATCCAAAGCATCCTTTATGGGCTGCCATGCCCTGACTGAAACCTGGCAGGTAGGGCAGGAGTGTGGTTACCAGCTGTGCCTCTTGGATAAAAGTAGGAGAATAAAGGAGCTAAGCATCCCCCAGGATCCAGAGGGGTCCAGCTGGAGGATGATGTCATGTCCTTGAAAGCCACTACCGTAGAATGGCATTCTGTCTACTAAGACTTAGAGACCTAAGTCCTAAGAAGCCCTTAGTAGCATGGCAAAGGGACTGAGACTGGAGAGCAGGGCTCAGTTTCAAGAGTGATGTGTTGTCAGCATGGTGTCTGCAGAGACTCTTCCAGAGTGTCCCAAGAGCTTAAGTGGTTTACCACGAAGCATTTGCCTTAGAGCAAATGCTTGTGCTTGTTTGGTTGTCTGTTTATATCTGGTAGTTTGGAAAGGATAAGCTGAAGGTCACTCTCTACCTTGGCATCTTGATGTTGACACGGTTTCTGATTTTATAGGGGACTCTGCTTAAAGATCAACACATTAAAGTGTGTTGCCAAAGGAGCAGAACATCAAAACCCAGGCCCCAGGGGATGGGAAGTGACCCGAGGTTCCCAAAACTCCCAGACTTTCATCTTCACCTCAACCTTGGAACTTGAGAATCCTTGCAATAAAAGACATGTTAGACCTTGAGGAGGAAAGTTAATTTGGATGGTGGCCCCTCCCCAAGCAGCACATTATCTTTTTTAAAGTCACTCTTTAAAAACTTTTATGTGCAGGTGTGCAGAGTGTATCTGTGCACAGGCATGATTGTGTTCGGCAGGGATCAGAAGAGGGCATTTGATTTCCTGGAGCTGGAGTTACACGTGGTTTGTGAGCCACACGTGGTTTGTGAGCCACATGTGTGGGTGTGGAACTCAACTGCGGCCCCTGGAAAAGCAGCCAAGTCCTCTTAACTGCTGAGCCATCTCTCCAACCTCAGCAGTCAGATCTGAACCATTTATTTAACTCTGAGGATCTTAGCATCCTCCCATGTATAATAGGATAATAACATCTCCAGCTGGGGAGGATTAATGTGTTTGTTGATATATTCCTCATGGCAATATCAGATATTCCCCTTAAGTGTCTTGTACCCGAGTAGCTGCTGCTTCGTGGCAGAATTGGAAATTAGAAGTCTAGGAGTTTCTACCACAGAAAGCTTCCTCTCTCTCAGACAGAACGCCACATCGGCATCCTCTGGACTAGCTGCGAGGGGGCTTGGAGGAGTGGTAGCCTCATGTAGATGACTTTGAAGGGGGAAGTGGCAGGTACATAGGGAGGGTACTGTGACTCACAGAGTAAGGAAACAGCCCTTACCGGCAGGATGTAGGCAGTTGGGCTGAGGGTGTATGAAACCCCGTTGATAAGGAAGGCAACGTTTGGCATCGTGTCGAGAGTGGCACAATCCACCGCATACTGAAACAGAGAAGGATCAACTCAGACCCCGCTCTCTCCCCAGACAAGGACAGGCTCTCCTGCTCCTCTACCATCCCCCACCCTAGGTAGAAACTCACTTCTCCATCCATGGGTGTGGCCCCAATGGCCTCTTGAAGCTGCTTGATCTTGTTGGAGGGGCCAGTGATGAGGGAGGTCCCTGTGTCCACTATGGCCTGGCATCCCTCGGAGCAGAACATCACAGTGTCACCCACCTGGATTCTGAGGACAAAGAGCCCCGTGGTCTCATGGTTAGCACACGATCCTTGGCCATTCCTGCCCCTTATGGGGCCCCTTACCATATTAGGACACAATAATGGGGTCCTCTTTGGTCTCTTCTACCACAGGAGTGGTAGCATATTTCAACTAGCATGTTTGTTTGAGATAGGATGGGGTCTCTCTGCACAGCCTTGGTGGCTCTGGAACTCACTATGTAGACGGACCTTGAATTTAAAGAGATCCACCTGCCATTGTCTCCCAGGTGCTGGGATTAAAGGCATGCACCGCCATGCCTAGACAACTTGCTTCTTTTTAAGAGTTTCACCCTGTCCAGACTAATCTTAAACTCATAGAAATCCTCACGAGTGCTGGAATTATAGATACTAGCCATTATACCGGACTCAACCTGCTTTTTTTTGACTGAGATTTATGGTAGGAATACTTTTACTTCTTGATCAAACATGTGTGTGTTCGTGCACACACATACACTGAAATACACTCTTGAATTTTCTACTGTACTCTGCTTTCATTTATAAATGCAGATAGAAAGCTGGGGAACACCTGTAACCCCAGTGTGCAGGAGGCTGACAGGATCCTGAGACAGCTGGGGCTACATGGAAAGACCCTGCCTCAAAAACTAAAACCAAGCAAACAAACCGAGAGTCCTTAAGAACGATCTCATGAGCATAGGTAGGTAAATCTCTAGAGTCTGAAAAGCATCAGGAGCCGCTGAGAGTTGGAGCTGTCTCACTTTCCATCCAGATCATCTAAGGAACAGAAACAGATTGTTCTCCCTAAACTGCCCCTTACCTAGCATGGGGCTGGCTGTACATCTATCGGGTATGCAATCCTACTTCCCCATTTGCTCCATGCCCAGGCATGGGTTTCAAGGCTCAGTTTCAGAGCCCTTGCCTCCACAAAACCATGAGCATTCTTCAGACAGAGACATCTCACTCTGTTGGCTGGCCATACTGGTAGCTTTTGGAACACTGACCACACCCACTTTGTGTGGTGGCTATTTGGAACCACACCACACCTCATCTTCCATACAGACTTTGAGTCCAAATCACCCGTGCCTTTTCCAAGTCACCCAGCCCTTGCCTTGTGTATTACTTAAGGCTGCGTGAACACAGGGTAGCTGGTTGTGTGAATTACAGGGAGGCTGGCTAAATGTACACAGAAGGAAGCCTCTCCTCTTGTCCTCCCTGTGTGTTTCCACATCTGCAGTCCAGATGCGAGGTTCCCAGCCTCTACTCCAGTGTCCTGAAGCGTCACCCAGTTAATCCAGATTGAGTTGTGTCTGATCTTCCATTGGACCATAGCCACTACCTAGAGGATACTCACCCATCCAGGGCAATCTGCCAGTAGCCTTGCTTGGTGACTGGGATCCAGCTGAGACTCCCAGAGAAATGAGAGGGGTCATAGCCTCCAAAAGTCAGCTCACTACTTGAGCCACCTTGTGGGTCACTACACAGAGAGAAAGGCAAGTTGTCAAGAAAGGGTCTCTGGAAACATACACAGGAGTTCAGGGCCACTTTGTTGCATGTCTGAGCACTCACATCTAGTACCAAAGTAGGCAAAAACTATCTAGGTAGCCCGAGTCTTTGGGGATCAAAGACAGGAACAACTCTGTCCAATACCCTGTGCATATTCTCTGCTTCTTGGATAAAACATTTAGGGGGTAGGGGATATCAGAACTGAGATCCAAGGTTGGGACTATCTTGGGTGTTGGATGTTTCAAGTGTTGGGTGCAAACAACTGTACAACTGAGAATGCCCCTAAAATAGACTTTCTTGAAGTGTCTTCCCTGCTATGGATGCTGTGGTGTCTGGAGTTCCCACAGTAGAGTTCCCACATCTTTGGAGAAGATACTTTGAAAGCAACGTGTCTTACTGGAGCTTAGCTATTGGTTAATTTTCTCTGCTAGTTATTTCTCAAGTTATATGCTAGAATTTAGGAGGATCCTGGAGGAGAAGGAAGGCATTTCCAGGAGGAAAAGGGACAGAAAGACACCAAGCCTGGGGCGCAGCAGGACAGAGTGGCAGTAGGGAAAGGAGTATAGATCTGTAGAAAAGATAATTTCAGGTTTAGTGGGGACTGAGGATATAGCTAAGGGGTAAGGGTTGCTTGCCATGTGGGAGTCCTGGGTTCTGGCTATCTAACCACCTGAGGGTAAGCACTTTTGCTACTTTACAGGCTCTGTTCTCTACCACTCTTATCCACCTCATTCCATCCTCCCAGCCCCCCAACACTATGTAGAGAGAAAGAAGGTTAAGGGGAAAGGGGCCATTGATATTGTAAATCATAGTAGTCTCCTCTGGACAATCTAAAACAGCCCCGTATCCCATACCCGGGATTAAATGAAAACAGATTCCTCTGACATTTCTGTCTTTAAAGAAACCAAATGCCCACTACACTTGATGTTGTTGAATTCTTGAATCAACCTCATATTTGCCCGAGGAAGCTGAGGCCCTGGGAGACAAGCATGCAGATAGCAGGATTTAACTCCCGGCTAGTCAGGCCTCGCTATTGACCATGGCTGCATACTTCTTCAGCAGGGAGAACAGGAGCCTCTGCAAGGAGAAACAGGAGTCCTGACATTGTGGCTCAGTCAAAATCCTACCCAGGCCTGGTCCCAGCTGCAGCCACTCCGGGGACTTTTGATGTGGGAGGGGACAGGGAAAGGGGACTTACACTGGAACATGGTAAGCTCAGGCCAGAGTGGGAAAGGTAAGGCTTTCTGTGTAGGTAGGAAAGTGACCTCCTCGGCACCCCAGGCTAGAGTTCCATGCTCTCCATGACTAGAGTGTATGCATTTTAAAGTCTCCTGGCAGTACAGCTATAAAATAGAACAGGCTTAACTATTTTTGTGTGTGCTCTTCAGATTTTCATTCCTGTGAAGCCATTCTCCAGAACATTTTCACCTTATAAAACTGAGACTCATTAAGCCAGAACCCCCTTCCCATTGCCCCCTCTACTCCATGGCAACCACCACTGCACTTTTTGCCTATGAATTCAGTTCTAGGTACCTCGTGTAAGTATAATTTGTATCTGTCGTTTTGGTGACTGGCTTAGTTCATTTAGCATAATTCATGTTCTAGCACATGTCTATGAGTTCTTGGAGAATGAACTTGGGGCCTTGTGTCAACTAGGTAAGTCCTCTACTGCATACTACGTCTCTCAACATTTTTTTCTTCCAAAGACCAAGTGACGTTCTACTATATGGTTGTATTACATTTTTCTTTCCTAGCCGTTAATGTAGAATTTATTTTTAGTATCATCCTATTGGTTAATATTTTCCTTCTCTCTGTTGGGTAATCTAATCCCAACAGAGATTACCCTTGTTTCTGTGTTTTGGTGTCTACTGTCACACTTGGCATGTAAAAAGACCTTAGTATTTAATGACCAAATAAATCACCAATCTCAAGGGTCCATAAATTTAACTCACTGTGCTAGTTTACAAAGTGCTCAACACAACTCTTTTATGAAGCAAGCCCCAGTTCCTTGAAATCCAGAGAGCTTAAATGTTTTGCTCAAGATCATAGACATCACAGGCCATGCAAAAGATTCAAGAGATTCATGGGCCTTAGGACCATGAAATCTTATGTACCAGGCCGTCTGCCTGTAGTCATTCACTGATCAGACCTAGGTGATTTGACTGGCCTCACCTGCTCAAGTAGACAGAAAACATAGGTAGAGCCACAAGGTTCTGGGCCATCATGTTGTCAAACACCGGGGTCACTCCTCCAACAGCCAGTGAGGGGTACCCCAGGCCCAGAATCCCATCAAATTCTGCATTCACAAAGGTCTGGCCAGGCTCTTTGACACTTTCTCCAAACTGCTGGCCATCCACAGTCAGCCCTTCCACCTGAAGGGAGAATTGCACAAAGGTTAATTGAAGGAGGGTCTCCGATTCCTGGGTGAAGCTAGGTCTTCCATTCTCAGCCTCCTTGGGAAATAGGCACACAGGTTTTGACTATAATCCCACTCATGGAATTTTTTCATGTGACTTTAAAAATTGAAATATAATGTAATGCAGAAAACACGAGTGTCTATTTTTAACAACAGTCCACATTCTCCTGTAACCCTCCTGAAGTAGGACAGGACATTCCAAAGCCCCAGCAGACCTGTCACATACCATGCCAGTCTTTATATTCCTCCTCAAGAGTGACTCATCTCTCAAGACACATTGGTTTTGTCTATTCCAGTAGTTCTCCACCTTCTTAGAACTGGGGCAGCCCTTTAATTTAGTTTCTCATGTTGTGGTGACCCCCAACCATGACATTGTCATTGCTACTTTTTAATGGTAATTTTGCTACTGTTATGGATCATAATGTAAATATTATATTTTCATTGTTACAAATTGACCCAAAGGGATTGCTACTCACAGGTTGAGAAACACTGCCTTATGCTATGGGTAGATGGGTGGGTTGTTTCCAATGTTTGATTATCAATAATGGTGCTTTGGCACTTCCTCTGGTGAACACATGTACACATTTCCACAGGATCTTGTATTGCCCAGGCTAGCACAGAGCTTACTATGCAACAGAGGAAATTTTAAACTTCTGATCCTCTTGCCTCTGCCTCCTGGGTGCTGGGATTATACACGTGTATCACCTTGTCCAGTTTATGTGGTCCTGGGGATCTAATTCTTGGCTTTGTGTATGCAAGGCAAACACTCTGCTCACTGCGCTGATTGACAGATTGAGACAGGGTCTTACTACGTAGTCTTGGCTGTCCTAAAACTCTCTATATGGACCAGACTGGCCTGACACTCATAGAGATCTGCCTGCCTCTGCCTCCTGAGTGCAGGAATTACAGGCCTGTGCTACTATGTCTGGCAAATCCCAGTGCTTATAAGAATCTTTTCACCGGGCAGTGGTAGTGCACGCCTTTAATCCCAGCACTTGGGAGGCAGAGACAGGTGGATTTCTGAGTTCGAGGCCAGCCTGGTCTACAGAGTGAGTTCCAGGACAGCCAGGGCTACACAGAGAAACTCTGTCTCAGAAAACAAAACAAAACAAAACAAAACAAAACAAAACAAACAAAAAAGAATCTTTTCACATTTTGTTATTATAGTTATCTGATGAGCTTATGAAGAAATTCTATCAATTCTCTGGAAGATGGGTCTAGAGTTTTCCTTGTGGGAAGGGTTTTCTTGTTTTGTTTTAATAGCAGAATCAACATTTAAAATAGATACCAGATTATTAGCAGTTTCTATTTTATTGTATCGGTTTTGATATTCATCAATTTAAAATTATTGTAAGTGTATCAATATAAAACAATTTTTGATATCTTGTTTTGAGGTTGACAAGGTCATTGTGTTTCCTTTGTTTTTCTGAATTAGTCATGCCATAGGGTTACCAGTTTGGTTGTTCTTTGCAAACAGTTCATTTGTTACATTGTTGATTTTGTTTCTAGTATGGATTTCCTATTTTACTGGTGTCCTGTTCTTCTCTACATTATTTCTTTCCTTCCTTTGCCTTTGGGCTTGGTTTGTGTCTGATTATTAGTGGCTTCTTTCTTAGTGTTTGTTACTCCAAACAGTGACTTAGATCATTGGTTTTTCTGATATTTGCACTTCAGGCTGCATGAACTGCATTAATCTGTATACTTAAGTGTTATATATGTATTAGGTATTTGGCTTTATACAGTTGCAGATGCCAGTTGGGAGTGCACGTAGGATGTGGTTTCTAACCTAGGGTTGCAGCCTGAGGTCTATAGATGAGGCAGCACAGGGAAGATACGTGCCAAGTGGGAAAGATGCCAACTGGAATTTTTGAGGATGGATTGGCACTACACTGTCCTCTCTGCCCAAGCCTCTATACTCAGCAAAGGCATACACTACAGCAGAAGCTGACACTACCACAGAGGCAAGTGGGCACCCGGGCCCCAGAGCCAGAAGTGCTGAAGGAGAGTTCGTGGCAGCTGTAGTTGCTGTGGGTTTGGCTGCTCCTTGCTCCATTCAGGGGAGCTAGCAGAGAGGCGACAAGCTGTATGCTAGAGTCCACCTCCCACGGATCTCAGTCCCTTCCCTGCTTTCCAGACTTACTACAGTTATCGGTTTGAAGTGCAGCCTTCCAAGTGGTTATTTATTCTGTAGCATATACATATAACATATTTACATATGCATGTGTAATTTCAACAGAAAACTCTGCTTTATCGATATAATTTTGTATAAAAAGCATTTTTCGGATAAGAAGATGTTACTGGAACTTTCTACAAATTTTGAGACAGGGTTTCACTATGTAGCCCTTACCTGGCTTGAAACTCTCTATGTAGGCTAGGCTGGCCTCAAACTCAGAGATTTACCTGCTGCAGCCTTCCAAGTACTGGGATTAAAGGTGTGTGACACCATATCTAGCTCTATTTAAACTTTAAAAAAGATTGTTTTTAGTGATTTTTTTCTTTTATGTGCATTGGTGTTTTGTCTGCATGTGTGTCTGAGTGAGGCTGTTGGATCCCCTGGAACTGGAGTTATAGACAGTTGTGAGCTGTCAGTGGGTACTGGGAACTGAACCAAGGTCTTTTGGAAGAGTAGTCTGTGTTCTTAACCACTGAGCCATCTATCCAGCCCATTTAAAACATATTTTAAGGAGACCTATTATTCTGAAGAGAACAATTAAGGCCAGTAATACATTCTCTTTGCTTTATATTATTGGATGACCACCAGATCACTAGAGTACTCAGACCCCACACATTTCCTAACGGCTCAGATAGATTTGCATCAGGTTTAATGGGAGGAGGGAAACAGAGAGAAAAGGAATGTTCTGTTAGCAATCCTTTTTCAGTTAATAATATATCCCATGTTCAAAGTTTTGAGGGGATTTTGATGAAGACTGAGCTCTACTGGCCTTAGGGTCATGCTAGACCTAGAATCGTGTTCATCAGAGTAGGCTAGTCTCATCCAGGTGGGCCGTTCTCTATTTCTTCCAAGGCCTGGGCCTATACTTGCATAAAGCATCCAGGCAGGACCAAGACTCCCCTGGATCTCTGATTCTTACAAATCAGGGACCTTCACACCTCTTGTCATGAGAAGTTCAAGGACCTTGGGACTTTGACACCTGGCTTCTTCCCTCTGTTGGATTCCTGCTTCCCACCTTCCCATTTCACTCATGGAACCCTAGCCTATCTACTGGCTTACACTTCTTTTTTCTTTCAAGATGTCAGCCTGCTCTTATCCTCTCAGTGCCCAAGGTTTGCTAATCCAGCCCTGACACCAGGCGTTATGCCCCGACTGACCCTTGTTGCCAGAAGGAACTCCTATGCTGCTCTCTAGGGTTCAGCATACTACAAAGATGGCCACCGTGCCATCTCACGTGGGAAGGATTGCTCCCTTGCCCTAGAAGTAGCCTTGTCTATCTTCCCCCAAGGCAGAGCTTAAGCTGTGCCCCTGAGGCCTCTGAATCACAACCGTTATCCCTGTGCCTAGTTCTGGGGCAAAATGTGGGGATTGTACTTACAGAGACTTGGTCAGCTCCGATGATTCCTGTCAGGCTCCCGGTACCATACTGGATGGAGAAATGATTCCCTACCTCCGTGTATGTGCTGGACTGCGATGGGTGGAACACCGGGTGTGCCTCTGGGAAGCAAGAATGCTGCTTGAGTCTTCCATCCCTGTCCCAGAGGGGCAGAGTGGCTTCCCTCCATTCCTCACACTAGATGGAAGACGGGGCTTCCTGGACAGGCATGTCACGGCCTTTTACTAGTGACCTGTTGTGCTTCTTAGCTACAGGTGTGTCCTAACCAGGGACCAAATATTTGTCCCTGGGCAAACCTGGTTACTCACAGTGACTTCATAGACACAAGATAAGCACCGTCCAGCAGGCGCCAGCAGCAGCCTCAGCCATCAGGGTGGGCCCGAGTCACAATGAGTTTCAATTACTACTCTAGAAAATCACTCCTACCTCCTCACCTGACCTTGACAATGTCCAGTGTCAGAGTTTCAAAGAGCTTCTGTCCTTGAGATGTGGCCCACACAGAACAAGCTTTCTCTGTTTAGGGTTTCTGTTTCCAGACTCTACATGGCCCCTACATTACCTCTGGCTGAATGGACACACCCACACCACTGTATCCCACCAGCCACACTTCCAAGGGAGCCAGTGCCTCAGGGCCTCCCTGAAGCAGGCGCACAGTTTTCCTTAGAATTCAATCTGCCTCTCTGTTCAGGTACTGACCAAAGGAACTTTCCCCCATGTTCCTTTGGGTGTTCCAAAGGAAGTGAGTCACCAAGTCAAAGACTTCTCTTCCTAATGGCTAATTTGCTCTCCATCAATTCTGACGAGCATGAAGGTTGTTATCTTGACTGGTAGTTGCCATTCATGTCAGTCCCTGGCCCAGACACACCAAACAGAGATAGGAAGGGGAAGCCGGTATGGCAGGAAGGACAAGTGGAGGAAATCTGAGTCTCTCTCCGCTGCAAGGTACCATCTTAGCCTCCAAGAAGTGGCTCCCTCCCGCCATTGCTGAGCTCACTTACTGCATGCGGGGCTGGTGCAGTACACAGAAGGGACCCAGAGGTTGGATGAGCCAGTGTCAAAGATGACGGTGAAGTTCTGTGGTGGGGAGCCGATGGAGATAGTGCCAAAGTATTCCATCTGCAGAGACAGGAGAGAGGGGGGGGCACTGAGGAGACGGGCACTAGAACATGAAGTACCACAGGCTACAATCTACAGAGCCTAGAAGAGGGAAGGCTGGAGACAAAGGATGGAAGGAACAGAGCTAGGATCACCAGGAAGGAAACTGAGGATAGCCCAGGATAGAGCAGGAAACTTGGTTCCATTCTTCTCTTGTTATCCTGATTTTCATGATGTCATCAGGGATCTGGAGATGTGGCAAACCAAGTATTTTCTTTGCTCAGAGGAATAACTAGTAAAATGCCCAGCTGGGCACACAGTAAGGGTCTTTCTTTTTGGAACACATGCCATACTTATCTCTTTCCTCTTGAAGAAAGCCCTGCACACTGGGTCATGTTGAAGCCTGCTTTACAGAGTAGACAGAGACTGGAGGATTGTCTATCTGAATCATCTAAGCAAAGAAATCCCTGCCTGATCATGAAGTTACCAATGCAGCACTGGTCCCTGCTGAAGGCCCCAGCCGTCCTCCTTACACCCAGTGTCTCCAGGCTTCAACCTAAGAAATCTTACATCCAGGTAGTTGATGAGGGGCTCATTGGTACTCTGATCCACGTTACAGGACTCGCTGAATCGGATCATGTCCAAGTTATGAGACCTCCAGAACTCCGAGAGCTGTCCTTGGGCCCGTAGTTTCTTCCGGAGGGACTGATGTCTTCTGAGGGGCACTCTGGAGAAAAACTCAGGAAGTAAAGGGGCATCTCTGCTCCCCCTGCCTCTATACCTGTGCATCATTTCAGAGCCTGACTACAGCAAGACCCGGGAGGGGACCCTCAAGAACAGGTGTGGCCAGAAGCAGCAATGGCTGTGTCCTGCAGACTCAGAATTTGAGCAGAAATGGCTCTCCCTCCTCGGCACTGGTCCTTTGAAGTTTTCTTGGGAATGGGAGGTAGGACACAGTCTATAGTTTGTTCATAAAGGGCTTACTTAAAGGGATGGAAGAATCCTGCAGGTAGCAGTGCTCAGGCCCCTTCGGGAAAGTATTTGAAGGCTTGGAGTTACAAACCACAGCTATGGAGCATACCTTCGAACAACAGAGGGGAGTCCTTGAGCTGAGGCAGGCACCTACACTGGAAGGTGAGGCCTGGGGAATCTTCTCTAGGGATTCCCATGAGATCCCAGTTTCTTCTTTTCATTTCCTCATTAGCTTTCCTCCCCCAGGGCACCCCTGAGCTGGGTTTGGGGGTTGCCTCAGTTGAACTCAATGCTGGAGACAGGGCTTTACCTGTGCAGAACTCCTTGGGCCTGAGCCAGGTCCAGAAGCAGCAGCAGCAGCAGCAGTACAAGGAGGGGCTTCATTGTGGTCCAAGAGGTGGCTTCTCTCTCACTCTGCTTTGATCTCCCTTCCACCTTTCGTTCTTCTTGTGCACAGGGCAGGGGCACCAGCTCTTCCTGGTGCCCAGACCTGCCCTGCCCAGTCTGAGGACCCAATGATAAGGTCTGGAGTCAATAGCCATGCCCAGAGTAAACACTATGTGTAATAGGACGTCCCTTGTCTGCCCCTGCGTCCCTTTCTTGTGCTTGGGGAGCTAAGGGCAAAACCTGTGTGTGTGTGTTCTCTGAAAATGAGGGGTGTGGCAAGGTCTTTGGACCCCATGTTTATTGTCTAAGGGAACAAAAATGAATGAGGGTCTCACCCTGTTGAACCACTACTGTGAGTGTTTAAGTTGAAGATTCCAGAAGGGCAGAAGCCGAAATGACATATGTGTAGCAGGATTATAGCTCAAAGAATTGCCAGACTTTTGTTCTCATATTTCTTGTTCTCCCTGCATTTTTCCAGAGACTCTTAAAGCAATGTGTCCCACTCAGAGCAAACCAGTGTTCCCCAAAGGTCCTGAAATGGGATAGTCTGGCCATTGATTTGTGGGGAAAGATTTCTTGATTCCAGACTTAATGAGTCTGGCTCTGGGGTCTGTATGGAAGGGAGTGAAGAGGCATGATGGAGGAACCGAGTCTGGAGCAAGCCTGTGCTGGTGTACCATGGCCGCCATAGCAACGTACTGCAAACTAGTGGCTTAAGCTGCATTTAATTTCTCGTGATCCTGGAGGTTGGAAAGTCAAGTTTTCTTACCATCAACCCTATCCTGTGGATGTCCCTTCTTCAACTTTCCTGACTTAAGAGAGGTAGGGGATGACGGGAAGGAAAACCTTAACTGGACTCCAGTCAATGGCTTCTGAGCTGGGACAGAAAGGCCAGTACCCCAGGGAGTGCTGGTATAAAATAATGGGGTGCTTGGGTTAGGGTTAGCCCTGTCCATGCCAGCTAGTGTTATGACAAACTGCCAGCACCTTGCCTTTTATCTCTGATGCCCAGGAGAAGGCAAAATTCTCTGTGAAGCCAGGCCAAACCCATTGTGAGATCCAAAATATTGAAGAGGCACTCAAAAGAGGAGGAAAACACAATCCCACTTTCCCTTGCCCACAAAGCCACCATGCCTCTCTAGCATTTACACATTTCCTGGGAGCCCATTCTCTGACTGCCCACAGGGTGAGAGGCCTGTCTGCTCCCTGAAGACCAGCATGGGGGCAGGGGGCAGGGCTGGGAGTTCCAGTCACTTATCCAGAACTAAGCTCTGTAATGAGAGCCCACAGTTGCATGACCTCAGCAACAGCATCTGGGTTTTGAGGAAGGTTAAGTACACAAAACAAGGTATGTGAATGTACTGAAAACACTTTAACACATCCCATGGGCATTGTCACTGAGAAAAATGTGTGCTGGAAGATTGCTTTCAGGTCCTCAAGATCAACCCACTTGCATAGCAGATGAGAACATGGTTGGAGAGAGACTAAGTGATCCCCAATGGCACAGGTCCTTAGGGCTGGGCTTGGGTGACCCAGGCCTCTTAACTGCTAGTCCAGGGCTCTTTCTGCATGCATCACTGAGCTATTGATGCCAGCATACCTGAGCCCTCTCCTTCTCCATAGCAGACCTCTCCCCATCTGCTTATCAAATGTATAGGGTTAGGTTGGACCATGTTGAAATGCGATCTGGGTAACTATGAATTACCTGGCCCTGAGGAAGAAGACTCAGTCTCTCTGTCTGTTAATAGGGTCTGCTGAATTTGGGGAAGTCTGAGAAAGATTGAGAGCAGGGCTGTGGGGACTTTTGTCAGAGCTGATGGACTCTGTCCTTTCTGGAAGCATCAGGAGTCACACCTAAACTGGCTCACTGGATCCTCCCAGACTGAAATGGAAAACTACTGTAGACTGTTGTTATGGACAGTGTGCGCCCTTCCTGGGAACAAAAGCATCTAGACATATGGGTGGCTATGTGTGTGTGACCTCTGGGAAAATCAGAGAGAAGAACATTGGAAATTGGCACAGGGGCAGAGGCAATGCAATGGACAATGGAGGCATGCATCCAGTCTCTCAGCATGTGCAAAGGAGCTTGAGAAGAGGGCTCTTCAGGAATGGCTGGCTGCATGCAGAGGTTCCCTGGAATGTGGGGAAGCTGTTGGTGGTGACACTACCTAATTAGCTTCTCTTTTTATAGTTTCAGATTGCAGAGGATAAAATAATGACAGGGGGCAGCTGCACAGTGCTATGTGGGAGTCAGCTGGTCTAAGGATAAAGGTGTGGGATGCCAGCTGCCTCCTGATGGCAGGGAGCTACACTCCAGGAGACTCTGTCTCCGTCTCTGGCAATAGCATCAGCTCAAAATGACCCTGACAAGGAGTTAAGAAAGTGTCCCAACCTCTTTCTTCTCAGAGTTGAGGGATAAAGGAAAGTCCACAGTGCCACATGTGGCAAGGCAAAGAGAGACAGGGCAAGGATGCTTGGGTCCACTTGGTTTTGCCTTAACTGGCCACCTGACCATAAAGTCATTTCTCTCAGAACTTCATATACTTCATTTTAAGATTAAAACGAAGAGGTTGCATTGAATGATGAGAACAAGAAAGGGGGGGAGGGCATAGCCGTGTCTCAGACGCTATGCTAAGTATTTCTTCAGACCTCACACCAGTCCTTCTAGGATATTTAAAGCCGTTTCACATACGAGGAGTCGGAGACACAGGATGGCTCCTCTGCAGTGCTGTAACGGATCCAAACCCAGTTTGCCTAACTTTAAAGCTGACAATCCTAACCGTGGCACTGTACTGAAGGGTCTATAGCATTGGTTCTCAACCTGTGGGTTGGGACCCCTTTAGGGCCACATACCAGGTTTCCTGCATATAGAATATTTATGTTATGATTCATAACACATTATGATTCTAACAATACAGAAATTACAATTATGAAGTGGCAGTGAAAATAATTTTATGGTCAGGGGTTCACCACAACATGAGAAACTATATTAAGGGGTCACAACATTAAAAAGGTTGAGAACCACTGCTCTGGAGGGCCTTATGTTCTAGAACCTCTTTCTGAAAGAGGGAGATAGAGAAGCTAAAGAAAGAGGGAGAGATTTACTTCTGCCATGACAGAAGATTTGTAGGCTTTGAAGAATAAAAGATGTGTATAGGGCCTGATGTGGTATCAGATGTTCTCACTCATATTCATAACAATGTGCTTGTTCTTTGAGACCCGGTCTCACTAGTTACTCAAGGTATTCGCTGTATACCTCCTCCTTGTGTGTTTTTGAAAACCGTTTTCTGTCTTGCCTTCAATAAGCCACTCTGGAATATTCACTACTGTATTTCTTGTAGGTGCACAAATTACACCTGCACACCTCTGACTGAATTATGAAAAAAAAAAAAACTTCTATTTCTTCATCTGTTTTAATGCAGAAAAAGAGAACTTGGCACGAAACACATTTTTTTCCCACACAGCTTTGTTTTCTTTGTTTTTTCAAGACTCTCATTTTTGTGCAACTGGAAGTCAGAAGACTATGACCTCCCCAGCATCTCTCCATGTCACGAACTCAGTCAATTTGAGTTATTTCTACAATTTGAGCTATTTCTAGTTACATTCTGAGGAATTGGTTTTTTAGACCAGAAATTGAGCAGCGTTGCCAGCAGAGGGCGCAGGCACATGGAGGTTTCCTGCCCGGATGCTGCCACCACACGCCAGCAAGCCCATGCATGCCATGCTTCTTGCATAGTGACTTAACATACTTGAATGCAGGCAAAGCAGGGTTTGAAGCCTACCAAATGGCTTGTGATTCCCTCGACATGATTTTGAGTATCAGATTCTTCAGCTATAAAAGAGAAAGTGTGTGGAGGACATGGTGGGGCACACTTACATAGTATCAGCATGGGAGAAGCAGAGACCAGAGGATCCACAAGTGTAAGGCTAGTCTGGTCTACATAACAAGTTCCAGGCCAGCCAGAGTTACATAATGAGACCCTGTCTCAAACAGGGCAGGAGGGCCATCTACAGGAGAAAATCACATCCAACGAGCAATTAAGATCATGTCTGTTCCCAGATGCTGAGGCATGCATCTGATTCGATTCAACAAACTCCCTTGTAGAAAAGCTGCCAAATGGAAGTCTTGGCAGACCATTTATTTATTTACAGACTGGGGCGTATAATCTCGTTGACCTAATTTCAGAATAAGGATCGCTGAGGCCCCTCTCTTCTTCAGTAGGCACGATTCAGGTGTAGGCACCTCAGCGTGGTCTGACTAAACTTAATCATCGAGGTGATTTGAAGGAGATTGGCCCATAGGCTTATGTATTTGAATGTCTGGTCCCCGGCTGGCAGGCAGTTTAGGGAGGATTAAGTGTGGCCTTGCTGGAGGAGGTATGTCAATGGGAGGGTGGGGTGGGCTTTGAGTTTTCCCTAAAGTCAAATCAGTGAGATGTGATACGGCAAGCTGTGCTCTCTGAGTGAAGTTTATGGGAAATGTCAAAACTCCACACCAGATCAGGTCTCCCTCTCTCTGCCTGAGGCCTGTGGATTGGGATGTAAGCTCTCCAGTGGAGAGTGTGGATTGGCACTGCTCCAGCGCCAAGCCTGCCTGCCTGCTGCCATGCTTCTCACCACGATGGCCTCTGACTCTGCAACTGTAAGCAAGCCTCCAATTAAAGGACTTTCTTTTATAAGTTGATTTGGTCCTGGTGTCTCTTCACAGCAATAGAATAGTGACCAAGACAAACCAGGCCATGCCTATTCTAATGTAAGAGATGACAGTAGCTTGGAACGGAGTACACATGGTAGATGGACAGAAGCAGGGTGTAGAGAACTATTCTGTAGCTAGAGCCATGGATATACCATAGATTAGAAAGGATGAAGGAAACTGGGATCAAGGAGGACACTTACAGTTTGTCTAACTGATGCCCCGTTCTGTGCGAAGTGCTGTAGGTTCAAGGTTGTGTACAAAGCATCCATTGTGATTGATAGCTTAAAAACTTCTGTTAATAAGAAATGTTTCAGAGTTATTATCTATGAAAAAATGCTCTGGAGCCATAATAAAAAGGCACCAGGGAAAACCTCTTGGATACATTGCTCAGTTGAAAAAGTAGAGCAGGATGTATGTTACCATTTACATAAAGTAAAAGATGAAATATACATTTAAAATATAACATGCATATACACATGTATATATAGTGTACATGTGCGTACACACATACACACACACACACACACACACACACACACACACACGTCCTGAGGCAGGAAAGCATAGAGAATAGTGTAACAACTTGGAACTCCGCTTGGCTTGGGTTCCTCTTCTAACAACACACCTCAGGACCCCCCACACACACCCCCCACACACATATGTCAGCATTAAACGGCAAGTACACCTCACTCAGAACAATGGAGTAAGTTTGTTTCCATTAAATGTATTCCAGAACGTGTTTTGGTTTATGAATGACAGGGATTAATCTGGTTTGGACTGATTTTGGGTGCATGATCGATAAGGCAAACTGTGCCCTCTGAGTGAACTTTTAGGAAAAAATTATCCTCCTTCTTATTTTTATGATAGTTGGGCATACATATGATTAACATCAGATGCATTATAGGAGGAGACATGCACAATGTGAGCAAAGGCTTTATGTAATTGAAGCTGTCAATCAAAATTATCTATGGCACGCTCCTTAGTAACCAGACTCCTCCTTCATCACATAAAGGAAGACTCTAACAGTAACCTGGAGTACTTATTGTTAACCTAGAGAGCTTACTGTTATTCTTTTTAAAATTCATGTATTTATTTATTAGTGTGTGTGTGTCCACACATGCCTTAGCATGCTTGTAGAGGTCTGACAACTTGAGGGAGTTAGAGTTCTCCTTCCACTATGTGGGCACCAAGGATCAAACTGAAGCTATCAATCAGGCTTGGCAGCAAGCACCTTTAAGAATTGAGCCATCCAAATCTGCTGCTGACTGCCTCTGGCACCACCAAGACCAACAAAAATTTGCCACAGATACAGGGAAGGACCCTCTTACCCTTAAAGGGAATGGCCCAGACTCAGTTCCCTTATGGGGCCGAGGACTGATATGCCTGTCTGATACCACAGAAGGCACAGCTAACCGGCTACCAAAAAGATAAATGAAAAAAATAGATACCCCCACAAAGCCAGGCCCAACCATAAATACGATGAATAACAATTTACATCCAGGGAAGAGAAATCTCCCTGAGAATCCCCTTCTTTTTCCTTTCCAGGTAAAAATGAATCACCTGTGATGTCTGCTGTTAGAAGTTCTAATCCAGATGCTGGCCTCCGAACTTATACTACTCAGACATTTGAAGGGCCACTGACAAGAACATCAAACAGCTAGAGATTGACATCACTAATCTGAAGAGACCTCCTAAAATCGCAAAGATCCTTATTGGACTTGATTTACTCTAGTACAATAGAAAAGGCTGTTTACAGCTCTTGACTGTGTACAACCCTCAAAGAAGAAGGTTGCCTTTACATAGACAAGACAAGGAGGGTTAAAGAGAGCATGAAATAGGTAGTGAAGGCCCTAAGAAAAATCAGAAAGAGAAAGAGACAGATGAATGCTGGTACAAGAATTGGTTTGCAGCCTCTCCAAGGTTGTCAACCCTATTTCCTTCCATCTTGGGACCATTATTTGGGTTCTTTTTGCTTTTTTCTGCTGGTCCCTGGCCCTCAAATAGGCGGACTAACTCTGTGATACAACAGATTAATAATTTGGTAGCAAAGCCTACTCAGATACAACATCATTAGTTAGCTATGGAGGACCACGAGACTCAAGATGAGGTTGTTACTTTATACAGGGTGTTTCCAAAACCCATCTCCACCCAACCTAAAAGGGGGGACTTCTGCCCCTAGACCAAGCAGAGAGGGGCCACCCAGAACCCCCTCTGACAGGCGATCTGAATTCTTGCTTAGGCTGCGAGGCTAAGCACTGCAAGGGAATATAAATAAAAGATAAAAATATCTATCTGGGTTCCCTTCGGGACAAGCCTGACTGCATAGGGGTTGATGTCAAATGTATCCCCTCTCCAGGAAAAAGACATCGAGATGGGTATGGCCCTCATGCCTCACTGGACAACGACAGGGGGACTGGAGCCATTACAAGGTCCCCTTCAAATACTGGAGGTCAGGCCTCTATCCCCGCCTTCGCAAGTTTAGAATTGCCACAGCCCTTCTATACTTAGAGAAGGGAGGAGATGTCTGGGGCAGCCCTGCTTACACACTGTAGACCTAAAATCAGCCATAGGCCTAAAATCAGCAATAGGCCTGCCATACATGTATACTAACACCAAGTCTTGGGCCTCAGTGGAAAAACATTGAAACAGATGGCTAAAAGCTAATGTCAACAGGCAGCTTTTGTGGAAATTTACAAGCCTGAGTAGTCACAGACCTTGTAAATAGGTAGCCTTGGCAGACAATACCAACTTAGATAAGGACAAGCGAGTCATAGGCAGAGTCATAGTGACTTGTCCCCTGAACCTTCACCTAGCTGATACCCGGTTCTGAAGATATCTGTATTCCCCCTGAACACCCACATTCCAGTGTCATTCCCTTCCCCACATTCTGCCTTTCTGTGTTTATAACTCCTGTGTAAATTAATTACGATTTGATAAAAAATTAAAAAAAATAAAAAATAAAAGTTGAGACAAAAAAAAACCTAATGAAAAAAAAAAAAAGAATTGAGCCATCTTGCCAGCCCCTGTAACTTCAGTACTTGGGGGCAGGTATTTTTGATAGAACATCTGGGCTACCAGGTGTGCCTGTGTGATATTAAGATAAATATATTTCCAAGGCATTGTTTCCTCTAGTTTTCCAAATGAAGAAACTGAGGTCCAGAAGACTCCAATAGCCATACCACTATGTTAGAGACAGAGGGTCCAAATGCAAATGCGTGGCTCCTTTTTGCATTTGAGTCTGCACTGCCCCTCCCCCTATTGGTATATCCTGCTGTGCCTGCATCTGGAATGGGAAGGAGAGCCTCAAAGTGTGGCAGACTTTGAGAGTGTGGGAAACAGCCAGTTGGGGTCTGAGAGCACCTTCTAATCCTGCATCATCCCTAGTTTACTAAGCCTGGGACAAGTAACTTCCCACCTCTGAAAGATGAAGAAAACCTTTACAACTGGTGGTCCTACTGTTGACTGGGGAATCACACGTGGTTATTTTGAGAGCTCGGTCCCTAATTCTTTACTACTAGAATTATAGGAAGTCTTTCTCAATAAGAATTTGTTAAACAATGTGGTAGGGTGTATGAGGTAGCTAAACTGGTCAAAGTTATTGCTGCCTAGCCTGAGAATCCAAGTTCAGTTCCCAGGTCCTACATAACATAAGGAGGGAACTGATTCCCTCAAATTACCCCCTGACCTCCATACAAGCACTGTGGCATAGGTGTGTATTGCACCCTCCCCCCCCCCCGCCCACACACACAATAAATAAATTTTATAAACAGCAACAACCTGGTGCCGCAAGCTGGTAGTCCAGCTACTTAAGGGGCTGAAACAAGAACATGGAAAGATCAAGGCCTGCTGATGACTTAATCAGACCCTGTATCCAAACAGTGGAAAAGAGTGTTAGGACTACAGTCACTGGTCGAGTGCTTACCAATCATGCCCAAGGCCCTAGATTTGGTCCCTAGCACCAAAAAAGAAAATCAGAAACCCAAGCCTGAAAACCCGCTGTTCCTTCATGTCCCTAAGTTTGTAGAATGTGCTTGGCATTACATTCTGGACGGCATGGTCCGTGTTACATGGTGGGCAGAAAACCTCAAGTTCATTTTCAAGGATTAGGGGGTGTTCATTAGGGGCTTCTGATAGCTGCTCACTGGGGAGGTGGCTTCCAGATGGATTCTTGCTGGGGTGCCCTTAAAAGCTGTGATCTGGGTTTTGACAACGGGACAAGTCAAACAGTTATTTGCTAAGAAGCCTGGCACAGGGGCATCCTGCTCACTGAACCTGCCAGGAATCAATCTGCTTCATTAAAGTGGCATCTAAGTCAGGTGGCCCTCGGAGCCCCTCTTTCTGGCTCTGATAGCATGTTCCCTCTCCAGAGTACACTAAGTCCAGCAGGGTATTTCTCAGCCACAGCCAACTCAAAGACAGCCCTTACACCTGTTCCCTGCTGCTGTCATACCCATGTTTCAGTGTCTGCTGGTGGCTACTAAGAAGGCCCATAAGGATACATTTTCCAAATGTGTTATAATTTCTTTTTCCAGATCTCTGGAGGGTAAATTTAAATATTCCAAAGTCATTATGTTTTCTCAATGAATTTTATGTCAAATAAAAATGATTTTGCTCAGCTAGGCTGAGCTACAGATTCAGTCACAAATAATCTTTCAGATTTGGTGGGGTTTTGTTGTTGTTTGTTTGTTTGTTTTTAATGTGCCTGGTCTACATGTGAGTTCTGGGACAGCCAGAACTATGTAGAGAAACCATGTTTCAAAAATAAGTAAATGAATAAATAAAAATAAAATAGATAATGAAAATGAAAGTGGGCCAGGGAACACACCTTTTATGTTTCTCCCTTTGACCTTTGGTTCTGGGACTCTGAGGTGGGAAAAGGGATAGAATCACTGTCTGCAAAGCTTAGTGTTTTTATTGGTAGCCAGTGTATGCCTGCTGTCCTGTGCTTCCCCACAGGTAGTCTAGGCCGTGTCTAGCACTGTACAGCTGAAAATAAGAGAGGAAGTTGTTTTATGAGAACAAAGCAGCTGAGAGCTCAGAGGATACAAACTCAGTCCCTAGAACCTACGTCAGCCAACTGCCTGTAACTCCAACTCCAAGGGACCAGTACCCCCTTCACAGGCACCAGGCACACATGTGGTGCACATACATACACATACATATGTGTAGACAACTCTCTCTCTCTAACAGTTTGAGTCAATATAACAAAACCAAAGGTGTTTTATTTTGTGCTCATTTTGGTTAGCTTTCAACTTCCAAGACGCTAGGAGCCATAGGAGCCAGGCCTGAGAGAACAAAGACAATATGCCCTGAATACCAATGTCAAGATAGTCCCAAGAACACTTGCATTTTTGGAAATTGCCAAGAGAATTTTACGTGAATCTCTATTTAGACCTAGAATCTTTCAAAGCAGAGCTCATACACTTAGCACAGAATGAATGCTGATGTGCTGACTCAGCTTTTCCTGACTCCAGTGGCTTCTGGGTGGCTCCCAAAGCTGCCATCTGCCTTCTTGACAGCACAGGAGGAAGGTATTGCCCACTTCTACTGTCCCGTAGAGAGAAGAATGAACATATATAGAGTTTCTCTCCTACAGGCAAAGCAGCGTCTGACTGAGACCCTCTTAGAGCGGGATCTTTGACAATGATGCCCTGTGGAGTATCTTCGATGAAGACAGTAGGGACTGAAAACATAGGACAGGGAGCAGACAACTGCAGGAGTGGGTTCACAGTTTCACTGCAGCGGAAAGTGTGGGAGGCTTGGGTGGGCAGTGGAGCATAGATCCTGGCCCAGCCTTCTCCATGATCCAGTGATCTTTTAATAAGAGCTGACACAAGTAGAAAATGATAAAGAAAAACAGACTCAAGTATCTGTCAGGTGATGAGAAGGTAAGTCAGACTTTGGGTGGAGGAGGACGGAGGACCTAGGACTCGAAGCTGCTTTTAGTGGCAGATCCTCTCCAAGCCACCAAAGATGTCTTCCCCTCTTACTTTACAGTGCCTGTGCATTTTGCATTTAATGCACATGGCTTTCGATTTCAAAAGGAACTAAATGCAAGGTGACTCTGAGGAGGCTCAGATGCTGCAATGACCTGGAGGAAAGTGACATTGTAGAAATAGAATTCTGGGAAAGTAGAGATGGTCTAACCCCTGCTCATCACCTATCAGAGTAGATATTTTTGCCAAGCCAGTTTAGCAATCTACGAGACAGCAGTCGTTACTAGAAAGGTCAGAGCGGTGAGATAAGTGAGTTTTGTAGAAGGGAGGCATTCTCAGGGCGGGAAAGGAATGTAAAGGCTGCATTTTATTGTCAGGAGAATCCTTTAGCAGGCACAGCTCCCGCTCTCAGAGTTCTCAGCTCCGTCCTGTGACCCTGTCCTCTTTAGTCCATGTCTCAACTGTGTTCCAGGGCCAATCCCCTCAGCCTTAGCCTCCAAGAGGCCCAACAACCCTGGGGGTGGGGCAGGAACTCCATCCATGGCTTCCTTTCTTCTTACCCTTCCTGCTTCTCCTCTTCTGTCTCCCTTTTAGTTCAAGATATAGTCATTGAAAACATTGCCCGCCCCAAAAAAGATGTTCTGGGTGAGATGGTGAGTTCGTCCCATCTGGATGCTATGGTTGGGAGAACAGGAAGCTTGAGACTAGCCTGAGCTACCTAGTGGGGCTCTGTCTTAGTCAAAGCAAAAGTAAAATAGAAAAATAAGAGATGATGCAAATCACCACTCACAGCTGACCATTCACTTTTAACATTTATCCATCACCACCTGGCCAGACACGGAAGGTGTCTCCGTGGGAGGAGAGGAAGAACACACGGCATGCATGAAGGCTCAGTGGAGCACATTTGCATCCCGCCTTGTGTTGGTGCAGCAAGCACATAGTGAATGTGGGTCGATTCCATGTGAAGTATATATGAAGCTATCAAACTCCGAAATAACAGAAAATGTCTATCTCCGAATATAGCCATTTGTTGTAAGTCAGCTTTAGCCATAAAATCATTTCCACAGGAAAGGAAAATCCCCCAAGGCAGTTTTGGTTGCTTTTCCAGCATCTTATTTCTATGGAAACCCCTGCTGTCAACACAGATAGGCAGCTTTTGAATTTCAGACATCAGATGTACATTTCCCACTGCTGACTGATATACTACCCAGGTCAGTACATGCTGGCAGCAACAATAGCGGTAGAACCGTGCCCAGCCTGACATTCTGTAGATTAGCTGAGGCACTGTGTGAGGCAATTAGATTCAAGAAGTGACTGACAGTCTTTAGTCCTATCTCTCTCTCTCTCTGTCTCTCTGTCTCTCTGTCTCTCTCTCTGTGGTGTATGTGTGCACATACACATGCATGTATGTGTGTGTACATGTTTGTATGTACAGGCTAGAGGTCAGTTATTCAAATAGTTTTATTTCACTTTTTTCCCCCAGATAGATTTTTCATTTTCTGTTTTGAGTGTAACATTTTTTCCCATTAAATACCCTGAAAGAAACAACATATTAACCTAATATATATAATATATAAATATAACACATTTAATATATTAATTATTATACCATTGATATATAAAATATATAAATAGAATACATTATATATTATATACAGTTACATATATGTGAATATATGTGTGTGTATAATATATAATTAAGATATTATACATGATTAATGCATTTTATAATAGTTTATATTAGAATTTATTTTTAATTAAAAAAATGATTTTGTTTTTATGTGCCTTGGTGTCTTGTCTGCATGTGTATCTATGTACCATGATTGTGCCTGGTGTTCAGGGAGGCTAGAAGAGGGTCGTGGGTCCCCTGGAGCTTGAGTTACAGATAGTTTGAGCTGCCGTGTGTGTGGTGGGAATTCAACTCAGGTTCTCTAGAAGAGCAGCCAGTGTTTACCACGGAGCCATCCTCCAGTTCCCTCTAGAGTTTATTTTAGAAGTGAGTAATACGCTATAAAATTTTGCCAGTATTTTTTTTGTTTTGTTTTTAAGATGGTGCCTCACTGTGTGTTCTAACTAGCCTGGAACTCACTATGTAGACCAGGCTAGTCTTGAATTCACAGAGATCCACCTGCCTCTGCCTCCTAAGTACTGGAATCAAAGGTGTGCAGCCCCACACCTGGATCAGCAGTTATTTTTGTCCTGAAGAAATTTTCTTTAGCAATGCATTATTAACAGCTGTGACACAACTAGCAGCTCACATACAGAGCACTCTACTTTAGAAATAAAACGCAGATGTAAAACATTATACGGACATTAATGACAGTGAGTCGTAGCGTAATAAAAATCTCACACACACGGTTAAATCGGGAACTGAAAGGCACCGTTGGGACTATATGACTTCTATTGCAAAACCTCAAATTTCAACAGTACACAATATAGGGATTTTAAAACCATTTACATAGAGAGCGGAGGGTATGGTGGTCTATGCCTGCAATCCCAGCACTAGGTAAGAGAACTGAAGGGAGCCCAGGCTAGCTTGACCTACATAGTGAGACCATGTCTCCAAAAAGCAACCAAGCAAATAAAACAGAAACTTCAAAATCCTACGCAAAGCTCCCCTGTAGGAAGCACCAGCGGGTCATTAACAAACTTACTCTGCTTCAACTTACAAAACAAGCAAATGGCAGCCTTCTTAGAAAATGTCCATTTTTACCTGTCAGAAAATCATTATAATAAACAGATTTTTGTTGACTAAAGCTTCAAATTGTCATCTACCAAAAAAAAAATGTAATAAGATTATAAAGCACTTACCTTTGAAGTTAACAGATAAACCAAAATGTCAAGAATTTCGTTTTCCTGTAGTAAGTGAATGGTCGCGCTCGGAGACTGAGCTCTGTGTGGAAACCCCGTTTTGTTGTTGGCTAACTACGTCTTAAGCAACTCTTATCTCTTGGCCACCTCAGCTGCAAATGGAGATAGCCATGCTTGATCCTTCTAACCACTTCTGGAGTCACACAGGGCATCTGCAGCTCTGAGGAACAAACGAAGCTCAGAGATGGACATACGGAGTTTGGCACTGACAGGAAGTGTGCTTGCTCTCTGAAATAAACAGGAAACAGGCCTTAAAGTCAATTAAAGGAAGCTAGACATGGTGGCACATGTATGTAATTTCCCCATGTGAAAAGTGGACGCAGACATATCAGGAATTCAGGGCCAGCCTCAGCTACATACTGACTTGAGGCTAGCCTGGGGTATGTGAGACCTTGTCTCCATAAAAATAAGATAATCAAATAAAGGATGTATAGAGTCAGTAGAGGACACTATTTCCATAAATACAAGATTGCTTTTTGTTGAGCCAGCTGTGGCCCAAGTGCCAGTTTCACATGGTCACAGTGGACTTGTGCAGGAGTCCACAAGGCTGACAGTACAGAAATAACTAATCATGTAGCACATCCTCTTAGCACTAACTTTTACCCTTTTGCCATATCTACTAAGGCAGATGGAGATGGTCCTCCCCCCGCCAGCAGACTGGGGAAGAGTGGGTGTAGGGCGGCTGTTGGTATCATAGCCACTTCTTCTTAGTCATACAGTCCATCTTACGCTGCTAGACACATAGCATACACTAAAACAAGTTTTGTTGTATTAAATATTTCCTTTGATTTTAGAGTTAATCTGTTAATTTACTTGGTTGCGTGCAGCCATCGAAGGTGCAGTCCTTCCTCCACTCAGTACTCACAGCCTGGTTTCGAGCAGGTTTTTGGTTTCCTTGCTCTTTATCCCCGCAGTAGACCTTTAGCTTCCAAATGCTGTTTGTCCTTAACCATGTTTAAATGAATCTTGATGTTATTTGGATGGAATTTTGCTTATTGGCTGATAGAATACTTTTTGTTAATTTTTTATCTCTATGACCACGGTTCCAGAGGTGTCAGCTCCTCGAGGCAGGGAGAACATGGTGGAGCAGACCACTCACATCAGCCAGGAAGCAGAGAGAGAATGTCTGCCTTCCTAGACTGTCTCCTCTGACTCCAGGCAGGCTCCCAGCTTATGAGAGGAGGACCTCCTCCTTCATGGGGAGAAAGTCTTCCCTGCCTAGTCTTCTCTGGAAATGCTCTCACAGACTTTCTCTGAGGTATGCTTGACCAGGCCCCTAAGTGCTTTCAAGGTAATGAAGTTGACAATCAAGATTAAGCATCACAGGGATCAAACCTTCCCATTGGCATTTGAGGTACCAGCAGCTAGCCAGGAAGAATTCTGGACTACCTACCCTCAGTCCTAACAGGCAGCTGTGAACAGCTTGGGCCAGCAAATGACTTAGGGTCCTCCACCTGAGTGCCTTCCCCTTCTGTACCCTACCCTCCTTCCCCGTGGCAGAGCCTGTGTGTACCACTGTTACACTGCCAGGCAAGCACCCTGTCAGGGTGCTCACTTCCGGGAGATGACTGCCTGGACATGAAGTGTTGTCAGAAGACCCTACTCTATTTCCTTTTGTTTTCTGCCTGGTATTCTTCAAAGGACCTCACACTTGGCAAAATGAAGAAATGCCATGAATCCTTAAGTCAGTGGCTCTGAAACTTTGTCTCTGAAGCCCTGTGCACTCTTTAAAGTCATTAGGAAATCCAAAGAACTATTGTTTTGTAGGCCGTATCTACTTATATTGAGCATATTCATAATGAAAACAGAAATTTAAGTATTTACTCTATTTTAAAAATAGCATTAAAAACATTGCATTGCCGGGCAGTGGTGGTGCATACCTTTAATCCCAGCACTTGAGAGGCAGAGCAGGTGGATTTCTGAGTTCGAGGCCAGCCTGGTCTACAGAGTGAGTTCCAGGATAGCCAGGGCTACACAGAGAAACCCTGCCTCAAAACAAAACAAAACAAAACAGAGTTATAATCATCAAAAAAAACCATTGCATCATAACATGTTTTATGAAAAATGATTAAGACAAATAGTAAGAAGTCTTCTTTGCTATTCTTGGAAACGTCATTATTGACACCTAACGTTATGGAAAATCTGCTCCTGCATTCAGTCTCCTGTGAACCCCTCAATGGAGCCTTTGAAAACTCAACTGTGTTGCTGGAGGAACTCTGAGAAGGTAGCAGGTATCATGGTACTCATACGGGAATACTTTGAGTTTGTACATCCTCTGGAAGGACCCGTGTCGCTTAGGGGGGCCCTAGGCACACCTTGAGAACTTTGATTCCATCTGTCCCGGCTGGCTTTGGTGCCAAATGTCACAGAGACCTTCATATTTATTAAAAGCTTCGGGAACTATAGCTGGGCAGATTCTGAACTAGTTTAACTGGACAGTGCTAGCCTGGCCTATTTCCCAGCCAAGTGGGATGTCACCTGCCATTTTAGTCTCACTTTGGTCTCCTTCTTCATCTGTGGCCTGACGGCAGCTCTCCTGTGCCTACCTGACACACCCCCACCCCTCACTCTACCCCACCCACCCCTGTCCAAAAGTCCAACCTTTTCCTTTCCTGCTCAGCTATTGGCTGTTCAGTTCTTTATTGACCAATCAGAAGATTGGTGGAGAACAATGTTTTACAAAATGCTAAGTGAGGAGGTGCTTCCAAATAACGACAATACCAAAGTCTGACTGCATCCAGATCTCTGGGTACAGATATCAGCATTTGGATATGCAGTGCACAGAAACAACCTCCAATAGTTCTGATGGGAAGTAGAATTAAACTTTTTTTTTGAGATACTATCTTTTTCCTTTATGTGTGTGATGTAGCTGAGCATGGTTGTGTACACGCCACAGCACATGCAGTTGAGGCTATGTACCAGGCTAGCTGACCTCCTGTCTTTGATTCCCATCTTCCATGGGAACTCTAGGAGGACAAATGTGTGCTATTGCCTGGCTTTATGCTGGTCTGGGGACTTTAAGCTCAGGCCTTCCAAACTCAAATGACTAACAATGTATGATTGAGTCACCTCCTCTGCCTGGAACAGGGTCTTTGTGCATAACTCATGCTGACCTTGAACTCACAGCAATCCTGCCTCGACCAGCCTCCCTGATATTGAGATTGCAGGTGTGTGTCACCAGGCCTGGCTCAAAATTGTGATGTAAAAAAATGTCCACCAGCACAGACTGTGGAAAAGCCAGCAAATGCAAACACCTTTTGGGCTGTTTTGGAGAAGGAAAATGATGAAAGGGGACTGATGTCCACAGCTTGCTCAACAGAGCACTGTGAACAAGATAGAGAACAAGGGGGTAACTAAACCCATAGTCAGAAGTCGCCATGGAAACAAGGCCCCTCTGGAAATTGGCAGAAGTCTCGGAGAGTGCACTGGGGCTTCCAAAGAACCTACAGTTCAGAGAACTGAACCAGTTGAATTCAAATCTTTCTGAACACCTTGACCTCAGCAAAAATCTGTGTTGTGAAATAAAAGCAGGTTTTCCTTATTGCAAGATGCCCCTTCGTATAACATACCTTGTTTATATCTGATAAGTTAGTTCTTTGCCGGTGAAATGAATCAATTCAAGCAAGATTAGATTATATTAAATGTAGGTTTGGAAGCTGCTCTGGGGTGAGTTCACTGGCCCCAAGGACGGAGGCCAGGAAAGTCACCAGGGGAAAAGGGAGGGAGGGGAAAGAGAGAGAAAGGGTGCATGCAGAGAGTGAGAGAGTGGGAGAGAGAGACAGAAACAGAGACACAGAAACAGAAACAAAGAGAGAGACAGAGAGACAGAGAGAGAGAAAGAGACACAGAGAGAGACAGAGATAGAAATAGAGACAGAGACAGATAGACAGACAGACAGACAGACAGACAGACAGACAGAGAGGACAAAATATCTGGATTATATAGGGAGGAACTTCCAGGGGAAGGGCAGCCCAGTCTCTGGGCTGGAAAGTTCAAGGTTGCTGGTAGGTATGTCAGGTAGGGACTGAGGGATCCTGGGAGAACCTGGAGACCAGATCTGCTGTGGTATAAAAAATATGCACCCCAGACCCTTGTCCCAGAGTCTGAAACCAAACAATATCTGTATAGTATTCCTCAATTTCCTTCTTGTTTCCCCGACGCTATGCCCTGTGAGCTTCTCTTAGGACCAGAAGTGGGTTTTGTACCCATAGGAGGAGGTAGGTCCAGGAGGTAACAACTCAGAAGGACTCCAAATATCAGAGCAAATTGAACTAAAAAGAGTACAGAGTGGTTTGCTTGTGGGTGGGCAAGATGGCTATACCCAACCTAAAACGTTTGTTTTAGGATGTCTTTTGTTTCTGCTTTATTTATTTATTTACTTACTTACTTATTTAGTCATCTATCTATCTATCTATCTATCTATCTATCTATCTATCTATCTATCTATTGTGAGAGTAAAAATTAAAACAACTCAGCAGAGACTCAACTTGCTGAAAATAGCCATAATAAAAATCAGAGACTCAACTTGCTGAAAATAGCCATAATAAAAATCTCAAGCCCCTCTAGGGACAAGGTGACCAAAAATGTAGAAACAACCAAAGACATATTTTGACCAGTCTAAACATGCCCAAGTGAGTAATGGGCCACCTGGTGTTTATCCTAGAAGGTCTGAAGTTTCGTGGTCAAAAATAGTGGGCAATCCAGCCTGTCAAAATGATTGCTTACGAAAAGTGCTGATGTTTGAAATATCCAATTATATGTAACCGTGCCAGAATTTCCTGCTTTTCCCTTTCCCCCCTTACACTGTTCCCTACAAAAGCCCCAAACTTTCTGGGGTCTTGGTCGATTCTCTCCCCTGCGTGGGATGAGTTTTGATCCGAGGGTCCTTGTTAGTAAACTGCCTTTTGCCATTTGCATCAAGTCAGTCTCTCGTGTCTCCTTGGGTGCATGCTGATTGGGACTTGAGTCAGGGGTCCTCTTCAGGGGTCCTTACACTATAAGACAGGGTCTCTCTATGTAGCTCTGGCTGTCCTGGAACTCAGAACTTGTTATGTAGGCCAGGCTGACCTCAAACCCCCAGAGATTCTCAGCCCTCTGCCTCCTTTAATCCCTCTCCTGGATTAAAGGGCTATCATACCCGCCTTCAGAATATCATTTGACCTGTCTTGATTTGAGTACTGTTG